ACACTTTTAAAACAGTTTATATTTCATTTTTATTTTACATTTGGTGAGCCATAATGAAATCATTTCATCAACAGAGGCAGAGTTCACTGCCTGAATTGTTTCGGCCACTCGCTAAAAGATTTCCAGCGGAAAGGTAAAGGGATTTCAATGTCCGCCTTTTTATTGCTAACTCTAATGTATGGTGCTGTGCTCTGGGACGCCCTTCTCATTAGGTCTACACCTTCATTAAGTCCTCCATAGAGATGTGACTGCAAAATATCGATCAGCTCCTTGGTACTGTTGTTTACTTGTTCCATAGTTAGAGCCTCATAAGCCTCTTGAATCCTCAGTTTGAGAAGGTCTTTGTACTCTGCAACATGTCTCTTTACATCCCCAGTGCGTTGTTTTGAAGACTGTACAATGTTTGCATAAATGGCATCGACTTCAGAATTAATTTTTACATTTTCATGTTTTAGGTAGGTGACGAAATTATCAACCTTTTCAATAATATCCCGGAAAAGAGCCGCAACTGTATTGTAAAGCATACTGAGCCCCCTCCTCATGGAATGTCGTAGCTCGTTATATACAGATTCTAGTTTATCCATGATCTCACTTCCATTAACAACATAATCAGTTCCGGGTATAGTGAACTCGATTTCTCTGATGTATATAGAAATGTTCTCCACGAGGCTGTCAAACCTTTGGATTGCCCTCTCAGCGGCTCTTGATACAGACTGACGGGTTTGCTGGAACATTTCCAGAATGGAGACCTGTCTTTCTGATCCGGGGACTGTAACCTTTGTATTTCTCAAGAACTGTGTGACTGCATCTATCAAGATGTAAATTTTATCTTCAGTGTGTTTCATAATTTGTCTAGCCTCGTAAATCAACCTGTCTATAGTGTCCTGCACATTTATGGACATCAAGCCGTCCGAAGCCTTCCTGTACATGTCTTTCCCTTGTTCAGCAAGGCTGGGGACTAAATCCTGCAGTGTGTTAAAAGACATAGGAACCTCATGGTATCCTCTCTCTATGACATTAGAAACTGTGTTTTTCATCTTCATGCCGGCACGGTTAACGTCAAAGCCAAAGTGGTAGGTATGATACTTGTTAATGAACTTGAGCACAGCATCAGTCACAGCAGGAATCCTGTCCTTGGTGCCGTCAATCGCATCATGGAGGAAGTCCCAATTCCATGACATTTGGAAGACCAACTTGTCCGAGTTTCTCAAAGAGACTTTAGCAGTAAGAACGTCAGTGTCCTTGTCAGGAGAGGACTGTGGTTGATGGAGGGAATTTAGAAAAATAACAGTTCAAACAGTGCCACACTACACTACATAGAATATCAGTCAATCTGTAAATTTAAAATTTGTTTGCTGTTAACACAATGAAATGAAAGAGGTTAATGCATTATATTACCAGGTAGCGGCTGAACAGTTTTCCATACAGCTGCGATGGAGACCTCCGCTGAAATTGTAATCCAAGAAAACCAGATGATGGAGAAGACATAGATGCAGTGATGCCATCTTTGCGTGAAGCAAAGCGGAAGTTCCCATCAACAAATGTTCGGCTGGTGACGTCAACGTTGAGAGTATGACGAGACTCCCTTTAGAACAGAAAAACTGCTGTTGGTAGACATATTTTCTCGTATGTATTTAATCAACGTACAAGCAAGAACTGTTTTGAGAACCCTGGAAATTTGCAAAAATATAATCCATCCATCCATCATCTATACACCACTTAATCCTCACTAGATTTGTGGGGGGCTGGAGTCGATCCCAGCCAACACAGGCAGGGGACACCCTGGACAGGTCACCAGTCTATCACAGAGCAGACAGACAACCAAGCACACTCACATTCACACCTATGGACAATTTAGAATCACCAATTAATCTCAGCATGTTTTTGGACCATGGGAGGAAGCCGGAGAACCCGGCGAGAGCCCACGCTGCACGGGGAGAACATGCAAACTCCACGCAGAAAGATCCTGGGCATCCTAACCGGGATGTGAACCGGGGATCTTCTAGCTGCGAAGCAATGGTGCTAACCACCAAGCCACCTTGCAGTCCAAAATATAATCCCCTTGGTAAAAACCAAACAAACAACAAAAATAGAGAGACAAAAAAAAAAAAAAAAGCTTACATAGCATCAGTCAGAGAGGCTTGACGTTTCATTCTGAAAGAAGAAAAAAAAAATGTATCAGAGTATGTGAATACTTATCCTCAACCAAAGGTAAGAAGATCAGCTGCAACTTGACCTCCTACCTAAAATAAGAAAATGATTGTAGTATTATTAATCATAATTAACATTTCTTTTTGTATTAAAGAATTGAGATTATATGCAACAAATCCAGATTTACAATGTAATTACAATCTAAAGTACAAAATAAAACTGCGTACACATACCTCAGGTTTTGTGCCAGAACATGTTGCCAATCAACATTTACATCATTGTGAATCAAGCTGCACTTCCCATTTAGATTAATTACTCCATTATCATATCCAATGGTTGCACTAGCTGAGGAAACATAAGCAAAACAAAATATTTTTAGATTTAATAACTCACAAATGTCGGCATAACAAATAAAGAGGAATGTGCACCAGTCTTACCAGAAAGGTCATATTCCAAGAAGATCATGGTAGAAGTACAAATGGAATTCAGCGAAGTTATAAGATTCGAGTCCCTTTTCTCCAGACTGGCAGTTGTTGACACATTATAAATAGGGGAGGAAACCTTCAGAGTGGCACCAAGGGCACCAAAAACTGGGATGAACACACTTGATGGCAGATGTAGAGCAAATTCAGGGATTTCAATTTTTTGCTCTGGAATGACTATGGTTGGCAGTTCAAAGTTTGAAATCTGGCTTGTGATATCATTCAGACTGAACGTGTGTTCTCCAACTGTAAATGATTTTGGTAGAGTGAAAGATGAGACTGTGACTTCATACTGCGGCATCTTGAATGAAAGGAATGACATTTTCCCTCGTAGATACTCTGTGTTAATACTGTAACTGGGAACTGACAGTATTGGCAAGCCAGGCAGAATGATTTCAAATTCCTTGGTGGTGATCACCTTAGGGATGTGAAGATTTTTAGGATCAATTTCAAACGGTTGCACATGTAAGGTGGTAAATGGAACATCAAAGGCTGGAAATGTGATTGCAGGTGGAAGAGTGATATGATCAGGGACATTAGGGTTTTCAAATCTCATGTCTGCTTTTCTTATGGAGTCTGGAATTGCTTTTACCCAAGATGGCACAGCAATACTAATTTCAGGGATGCTAAACGTGACACCATTTTCAAATAGTTTAGATGGTATTGCATAATCATAGCCATCCATGCTCTTTGTGTATACAATACTAGAAGAAATTTCAAAGAATTGTAATTGGTCCATATTTGTGACCTGATCAAACTTGAGCACATCCCAGGGGGTCTTCTGATATATAGGAAGCTTAAATGACTTCAAGAATGCTAGATGACCTTCTACTGATCCAGCCAAGTCCATGCGAACTTCAGATTCATCATTGGACATGAGTAAATTGCAAGCATAGATGAGGGGAGCCAACTGTTCCTTGCAACTCCAGGTGAAAGACTGCTTCTCTGAGCTAATAGCAAGGTTGATGCTCTGAATGACTTCAACATCACCCAAATTACTTGGCTGACTTGCATCAATTTTCAGTGCAGTCTTCAAGGTTGTTAAAGGAACAAAATCTAGTTCTCCTTTAAGATTGTGTTTTCCATTTGTTTGGATAGATGCAAAATCCACATTGTTATTACTTGCGTAATCAATCGTTGCAAATATTCGCCGCAAGGAAACCTCAAGAGCCAAGTTGTTATTCAAGTCAAACATGAAGACATTGTTGTCTAAGCTTCGTTTTTGTTTCTCCTGTTTGTTAATGTCTGAATTAAAGGCAGTCTTGACAGTTGTACGCAGGCCATTTGCATTGAGGTAGAAAGTGGCTTCATTTTCCAGACCTCCAGCAAAATTCCAAATGTCCATCATCGTTATGTCCGACTTCCCTTTGGTCATGGTCTCCAATGACACATAAGAAGATAGTGCTTCCAGTTCCCACATTGTTTCAAGGTTTCCTTTGCCGAGAGACTCAATCAGAGGAATGTGAAACATGTACTTCACTTTTTTCTTAGAAGAAACATTTGGCTTGGTCTTGGTATTTCCAGTGACTTCCTGATTCAGTTCCAGATTGAGGAAAGGTAAGTTGATTTTTGCATTGTTGGCTACAGCAGCTTCCATACTTCTTTTATTGAGACTAACAGCGCATTCATGGTTTGCTTCTATGTTGTTGTGCTCCAGGGACACAGTCGTGGCTAATTTTATTCCTCTTTTCTTTGTCAAACTAGTGGTACCATCAATTTTTATGTTCAAAATGTCAAACACAGATGATGAGGAGGTGCTAAACCGACCAACAATGTCCATCTGATTGTAAAGGCCTGCATAAGAGCTTATGGTAATCACAGGGGATTTGAAGGAGAAGTCACAAGTTATGTTACCCATAGCTGGGATCACAATATTATTCTGAATGTCTGGTAGTGTGAAAGTGGGCAGCTTTATTTCACCTAAAGTGTCAGGAACATGGATGACAGGAAACCTCAAAGATGGCAGCACAAGGGTATAGGATGGCACCGAGAAACCCAGTGCTGGAATTTTGAAGCTGGGTGTACTGACCTCCTTTGGAACAAAGTAGCTAAAGGCTGGCATCTCAGCCCTGAAAGCAGAAACCTCAATGTTCAGTACTGGTATTTTGTATCCAGGGACTCTGAAGATTCTTGGAGGAAGACTAGAAGTGTCAATTTTGTGTTTTATATACTGTAACTTTGCTTGGTTGTATGAATCTTTTAGAAGGGCAACTACTTTGTCTCTACATTCTTCAAATTGACTCTGGATGATGTTGGCATTGTCGCTGATTGCACTGTAGATTGGTTCAAGGTATAATTCAAAGCTGTGAGCATCAGGGTTCTTGTGATATTGTAATTTCAGGTTCATATCAAAAGACTGTTGAGGAGTCGTAAGCAAGGTTTTAAATCCAGCATTTTCCCACAGAGAAAAGTCTCTGACCTCAGGGGTTTTTGTTTCAAAATAGGGTATGGTTATCTCTGGCATTGAGAGAGGAACAGTCAGAAAGTCTAAATTGGCCTCTCCATTGACTGAAGAAAGGAGAAAGATGTCCATTTCATTGTTTTCTCCTGTAAAGTTATGGCTATACCTGTACTGATTGAATCTTCCCAAAGCAAACCAATATGTACGTTGTTTCTCAGAGTTTAATAAAAGACCATAGTCATTGTGGAGATCCACCTTACCGGTGAGCTTGAGGGGGAAGAAGATCTTGGAGTTTACTTTATTCTTAACATCAAGGACAATCTCAAATGGATGGATAATGAATGCCAACGAGTTAGACATGGATCCAATGAGGTTTTCAGTAAATTCAGCATCATGAGAGGCTGTTAGAGCAACTTTTAAGTCCCCAATATGAGCCTCTCCGTTTACAACCATAATACTCTTCTTGACAAATGGAGCTTCAGTTTCACATCTTGCTTCAACGGTGATATGGCTTAGGATCACTGATTCTGCAGTCAGTGTTTGCTTTGCTTTTAAGGCTTTACAGTCAGTTTCTCCAGCAAAAGTTAACTTTGCCGTGTTAAAATCAACGTTAAATTCTACATTACTTTTGTGCGTACCTTCATCAGAGTTGTCTTGAATAGACCACTTTCCATTACCAGTAGTTTCACCATTCACACTAATTTTGCCAGATTCCATTGTGGCTGCTATATTCTGGTTCATTGATGCCTGACTTGAAGCTTCAATGAATGGGATGTCCAAGTTGTGGTTGTAGGTTGTGTCTATGGCTGCATAGATCCCATTTTTTAATGTTAGCCTCATATTATTGATCAAGTCAGCTGTGTACATTTGGGTTGTGGCCTTTGTAGTAGTCCTGGCAGAAGCCTCAGCAGAGGAACCAGTAAGTGTCAAGGACCCTTCATGATCAATGGAGAAAGCCATATGGTTAGCTTTCACTGTCTCTGTGAATAGCAACTTCTTCATTCTTGGAGCTTCCAACTGAGCTGTGGCTTCAAAAGTGTATTCCAGGGGCTTAATGGGTGATTTGGCATTAGAAGCAATGGTGGCTGTAAACTGTGGGTTTTTCAATGTTGTTGTTGAGTTTTCAAGTTTCCACATAGTTACAAGAGTGTACTGAGGGGAGTTAATGTTAAACTCTCCATACAGTTTGCCAAAAACTGGGATACAAATATCACTTGGAACTTCAGGAATTTTGATCTCTGGAATAGGAAGCATTGTAATTTCGAAGTCGATAAAGTCTAATTTAGGGATGTTGATGGCTGGAAATTTTATCTCAGAAAGAGTTATTTCTGGAAAGGTGAGATCTGGTAGTTCAGATAAGTACAGAACTTTTAAGTCACCGAAGATGTCCTCTGGGTCAGGTGTTTGTATTTCAAATTCTTTTATGTCATCTATGACTGCAAGTATTTTAGCTTTAATCTCATCAAAGTCTATGGTAATGGCAGGGATTGTGTACGAGTTGAGGATGGTAAATTCAGGGAGTGAAATCTGAGATGGGATGCTGATATCCTGCAGTTTGTTCAGGTTGATTGTAAATGCTGGAATGACAAGGTCAGTGAGAGGAACAGTAAAAGTGGGAACTTCAATCTCAGCACTTTTTAGTTTGTCTAGAACTCTATCTACAGCTTGCTTTATCTGGTTAATGATGTCATTGTCCTTTGCCACTTCTCGGATCTTCTCCATCAGTCGATCGAACTGTGTAGAAATGAAGGCAACTATATTGCTGTAGGATTCGCTTACTCTATGGAGGTAAATGTACATTTCACCTCTAATATCCATGTCTGAGATTCTTTGCCTCATGTCCTCAAGCATATCCTGCACTTTCAGTTTAATGTCATTGTAGAAGGCAGTGTCAATCACATTTTTCAGTTTTTTCAGAGCATCCGCCACCTTTGTGTTTTTGAGTTCATCCAAATACGTAAAGATGGAACTTTGGATCTCTCTGAAAAAGTCCCTAACAGCCTCTATTTTTTCCACAATCTCATATGTTTTAATCTGCTGATTAATATATTCTGTTAGCTCAGCAATCTTCTTGTTAGTCTCATCAACAAATGCATTGTAGTCAAATTCCTTCAGTGACTTAACCATTGAAGAAATACGTTCATTGAGGTCATCAATGCTTTTCTTAAAGTCAGCGGCTTTGAGCTGGTTTGTCACACTGTACAGAAATTGCATCACTTTATCATAAACAAATTCAAATTTGATCATTTTCAGAGCTTCTACCATTGATTGCACTGTCTCTTCAATTTTAAATTCATTCACAAGAATAACAACCTGATCCATTAAATCTTTAAATATATCATCAAGATCATATTTTAAAAGCAGATCCTTAAGGTAGGAATACACTGCATTGAATTTGTTAGAGATTTCATATTCGTCAATCCAGTTGACAATAACATCATTCATAGATTCCATTACTTTTGTTATCTCTGAGGACGGGATTGTATATGATAGCTGCCTAACATATGCAGCCCAATCAATTGAGAGAAGATAGTCCGTTACATCTTGCAAGAACATGTTGATGTCAAAGTTGTCAATGACTTGTTTTACTTTAGACAGTTTGTCTTTGATTGTTTCCAAGATGCCATATTTAGAATCCAGCTCTCTCAGGAATGCAGCACTGCTGTCCTTCAGCTTCTGTAAATCAACTTGTCTGATGATGTCCTCGATGACATCAAGCACTTTGACAAATGACTGCTTAATGTTATATTTTTCATCAAAGGTCTGAAGCCAATTCCCAATGTATGAAAGTCCATTTGTTATATTGTCGGCAAGCTGTCCTGATTTGACATACTCTTCAATTGTAAAGATAAGGTCTCTAAATTTGGTGGCAATATCTGTTACAGTAAGTTTTAAATTGTCTCTCAAATTGTTCATTGCATGCTCCAAGTCATCCATTGTTACAGCAAACTCATTAATGAAGTAATCAAGTTTTACTTTTACTTGATCAACTTTGTTCTCCAAGTCCATTCTTTGCATGAAATCACTCACTTGAACTGGTATCTCGTCTAATTTGGCTCTGAAATCAGTGATTAGCTGATTGATGTCTAAGTTGCTGATGAACTGTTGCAGCGATTCTAAGGCTTGTACAAGTGTGTTCCTGAGCTTCTCAAAAGCAGCAGGAAAGCTCTCAATGAATGGAATCTCAATAATATGACAGTCACCATTCTTGTCATACTTTATGGATCCTGACATTTTGATTTCTTGTGTTTCAGGTGCTGATCTTTTATATTTGCTGAATATGTCTGTCAACATTACTCCTAAAAACTCGAATCCAGCCTTCTCAGGATTATTGTAAGTACTGATGTCCTGGTTATAAGCATGGTTGTTTAGTTTAGATTTTACTTTCCAAGTCAGAAATTGTTCACTTGGAGTCAGGAGACCTTCACATTTGTTGTCTAAATTAGTGGAAATCTCCCTACCTCGAGGCTTATGTGTGGTTGATACCCGGCTGTCATGTGAGTATGCAAGAGCTAGGGGCTCAGCTTTAACTAGCAACTTGCTGTACAGCTGTCCATTGTGCTTTCCATGTAGATCAATTTCTCCATCACTGTTGACAAGAGCATCAATAGTAAGGCTGAAAGGCAGTGCCATGGTGCGAATGGTGCTGTCAAAGCGCAGAGGTTCAGAATTTATCCGTGCTTCACAGTTTGATTTTGAAGAAAGTCCAGCAAATTCAAGTTCACAGTTGTGACTTAGCTGCACTTCCATTACATTTCCAGATGTGCTGCATTTCAGTGTACCAGCCATATTGTCGTAGCTTAGTTCATAGGCATGTTTAATGTTGTGTTCTTCTCCATATGCTCCCATCGTACTTCCACTGAGATCCACCTTAATTGGCTCAAGCCTTGTGTGGCCTTCATTGCTCAAACTGATATCATAAAACTTGAGGTCATTTGTCATATCAAATGCCAAAACAAATGGTTTCATATCAACCTTGGTGTCTTGCTTGTAGTAAATATCTTCACAGACGAAGTTGTTGGTCTTGGAGCGGAGTTTAAAGGTCCACAGAGTGAGGGTCAGTGTGTGGCTATTTTCTGTTTTCATCTGCTTGAATGTTCCCTCTGTATTGCCAGTGAAGGTCAGAGTCCCTCTGTTCAGTACAATACTCATGTCGTTTGTTGTGGCTGCATCATATGCATGGCCCTTAAGGCCGCCATACAGGGAGGCTTCAGCAGCTGTGATTTTACCGTTAATATTCAGTTCTCCTCTGCCCTCATCAGCCATCACTTTGGTTGTGGAGTCCAGGGATGCTCCATCGTTGCTGATGGCACCACTGAAGATATTCTCCAGTGTCACAGGACTGCACTGAATGCTGTTAGTTCCACTTGTGGTCAGACCATTTGCTCCAACTCTTACAGTAGCCTTATGCAATCCACGACCTGTGTCAAAGATGAAGGAACCCTCAGAGTTTAATTCAAGTCCATTTGAATCCAGGGACCCTGTGATAAGTGAGTATGCCCTTTTTGTGGCATCGTCTGCCTGTGATTCAATTCTGACAAGGGCCATTTGGCTGGATACACCAAGCTCCACCTTGTTGTTTAGTGATTTACCCATGGGTGTGGCAACAGCATTGCACTTTAGGATCAATTGTGCATCTTTATACTTGAGCTCTGCCACATGTTTGAAGATGTCCTTCTGGGCGCTGGTTTTGGACACAATGTTCAATTCAGAATTTGCATAGACTCCACGTATCATGTTCTGAAATTTGAGGAATGGTGAGTCGAAGTGCAGGGTGGACTCTCCCCTTCCTTCTTGATCTATTGGACGCAGGTTGTAGCTCTGAGTGTAGGAGCTATTGGCGTAAAATGAACCTATTTTAAGTAATCCATCCAAAGTACCATCTCCTGAGACTTCATCTGAATCTAGAGTTGATGTTGACTGAGCAGAGTAGTAGAGAGAGGCTTGCAAACCCACTGGACTAGAAGCTTCAAGCTTATAATTAGCTCTTGCATTCAATTTGTTTGTAACTCTTAATGTTTCTAAGACACTGACGCTTGTGTCAATGAGGCTATGGCTGAAGGAACAATTCAGAAGATACTTGAGATTATCATCAGCTCTTCCTGACATCATTGCGGCTCCTTGAAATAGACAGAAAAATTTATCTGTAATGTATTGTCTGTAAAAGCATGAGAAAAGATGTAGCTCTGAGCTCCAGATATCCTTACATGTAGAAGCACAATTTCACAAAACTGCGATGTTTAAAGTAACTATCAGTAAATATATAAGCCAGTCTTTCAAAATCTTAAATTGCGTCTGTTTTTATCTAAGAAAATATAAAAAAAAACAACAACATGCAACTTCACTTAAATACTGTATACTATATTAACTTATAAGAATTATTTTTAAAGATTTGTTTACCTTCAAGCTTGTATGAGAGTAGGTTCAAAGGTGACTGGCCAGTGGCCTTGTACTGTGCAACGTAGCTAGGGACATCAACAGTGTTGTTGCCCCCAGAGATGGATCCCTCCCAACTGTAGAAGTTGCTGTTGATCTTGGTGGATGCTTCAGCCAGACCGAGAAGGGGGACGGTGAAATCCAAAGAAGGTGGTATAGTGAATGATGGTAGTGGATAGTTGTTGGCTGGGATATAGAGGCCTATCTCTGGTAAATCTATGACGGGTAGAGACAGAGTTTTTGGAATGTTTAATTCCTCTGACTTTTTGCCTCCAAGTGGAAGCGGAAGCGAGATTGCCATCTTATCCTTGTTGAACTGGTATCGAAGCAAACTGTCACTGTTGATGTAGAATACAACATATCAGATGAAATGTTTCCATTAACATCTGAAAGCAAATTAAATTTCTTGAGCTCAATGTTAAACACTTACGATTGCAGAAACAGTTTGTCAGGAAGGGCTGGCAAGGTAAGATCGGAGATGCTCCTCTTACTTCGCAGGTTTGCAAGATAGGGCATGCTTGCTGTCAGTTTGTCCAGCCATATGTTACCTGCCTTCAGAGTGACGTGAAGAAAATGACATCTCACATTATACAAAAGCATAAAGCATTAAAGAGCCAAGGGTATGAGCCACTGTCAAAGCTGTGCAATACTGTAAAGTACAAGTGAAGAGGAAAAGCAATGTGCTCAATTGTGCTCTATTATAAATAGAAGGTGCAGGACAGGTGGAAGTCCAGACTAGTGCCTGTGTGTAGCGGAAAAAAGTCGAAGGACCTGTTGTTTGTATATATATATATATATAGCTGCCACTGGAGGGAGCTAAAGGGGATTCATCCAATAAATAAAATTGTGGCGAAACCCAAAAACTTCAAGTGGACACTTTTATCTAGTGAGGTGATTGTATCATAAGTAGAAGTGGCCTCTGTCGCCTTCATAGTGTTTTCACACATTATATTATCTGCTTGGAAATCAAAAATTGTCTTTTTATGACACTTGGTAAACTCTTTTATAAACTTGGCAGCAAAGTCATCAGTTTTGGTATCAGTGGTGATTTCCATTCCACTACCGTTTTTGAGCAAATTTTACATTTACAGTTAGGAACAAAAGTTTTACACACACTTGCAAAGACCATGTATGTCATGGCAGGCTTGGGTTTCCAATGACTCAAACTGTGCTTTAAAAAAATGACTAAAATTTGACTAAAACTAATTTAACATTTTCATCAAAAGACAAACACTAAATCAAAATCAGGTGCATTTTTGTCCAAATTTCTAACAGTTTTTGCTCAAATTGCTTCATGGGTAGGATAGCTAGCAGCAATTTAGAAGGAAGAGAAATACGTGTAAAACAAAGATGATCTATGATTTAGTTTTTTTTTTTCAAACTATACCCCAACAGTCCAGTAAAGCAAAAGGAGTGCAATGCTTGTTAAAGTGCTAAATTCAACTTAATGTTGATAGTGCGACTAACATTAAGTGGTACCACAATCTACAAATCCACAAACTCACCAGTGCCTCCTTGGTGTGTAAGTAAAGATTTCAACATAATATTTTTGTGCATAAAATACTGTGCTATGTAACTATCACAGAGACCAGTTGTATTGGAAACTTCTTCTTGAAGTTGATAAATATAGTGTCAAATGTAAAAAAAAAACACTACCTCAATGCCTTTGGTGACTATGTGACGCAGTTTCATGTCAGTCTTTGTCACTTGCTGGTCCAGGATATTATCAATGAGCTGTTGGAGCTGCCGGTGATGATCCTCCAGATTGGGTATCATTTTCTGTATGTCGGAGTTAAGATCGGTTTTCACTTCCAGTTCAAGCTTGTCAATATCTGTGAAAAAAAAAAAAATCAAAAGCACCATCAAAATACACAACTGATGAATGTTCTCAATCTGTCTTCTGCATTACAGATATTAATGGCCAGTTACCGTATTTTAGGGCAGTTTTATGCTGGTAGGATGTCTCAGGGAGGTGGATAACTGTCTCTAAGTCGAGGAGCACATCTTCATCCTTCTTCAGGTTTGCAGTGACAGATGCATCAGTTTTCAGAGAGGGAATGACCATTTCGAGTTGCAGCATGGCATCTCTCATCATGTCGAGTCTACATTTAAAAGGACATGTAGTTTGATAAGACTGCAACTTTATTTGTTAATTACTTTAATTTCCCATGGTGTTTCTCATCCATTCAGTCCAAGCTTCTTGTCTCAGAAAAGCCGGCAGCACATCTAAAACTTCAGCGTTAGCTATTATCAGAAACAACTGTTTATAGAAAAAATTTCACTCTGGCTACTTTCTGTGACTATATACCTTGTGCGTCCAACAAGAGTCAGCTGTGGGATGTTCTTATTCGTGACATCAATGGTGATACCTCGCATCCTTTTTTCATTGGTATCACCATTAGTTACCGCCAGTTTGATGCCTGCTTCCACATCATAGTCAGGAATGACGACCTCAGTGGAGATAATATTTTTATTGCGGTTGTATTTCAGTGCTGCTGAGGCCTCCACTGAATCTTCACCTGGTAACAGTAGAAATGAAACTCATTAATAAACGTTTATCACCTGGAACAGTGGCAGCTGGTGGCATCAAGATTGGTTTGCCCAAATGTCAAAAGTTGTACTTGAGTTGATCAAAACTTTTGGTGAATTTTCCTGTTGCACTTGCTTGCAACAGATGTGAGCACTGACTGTCATCCATCAGGATTCTTGTGACATCCTGCGATCAATACATGGAACTTTGTTAAATATGATTTTGTGGCCACTGATAGGTGTGCGCCTGTGATGTCACCATAGACCTGAGCTGAGAGTAAATATCGCATTCTGTGTAGTCAACAGCCCAAGATGATTCACCGGGATCATTCCACACACTCACAGCTCTACTTTTTGGCCACAATAATACAATTGTCGATCTCTGCCCACCCTGCTCACAAGATTTGGGTCCCTATGACTTCTTACTCTTCCCCAAAATGTAATTCAACTTCAGGGGTCACTGTTTAGATGCAATAGAAGACATGCAGCATGTATTGCAAATGGTTCTTCACATGCGTACAGAATTGGACCAGAATGGAAATGGAATGAGAGAATTCCAAGCGTGGCAGAAGCACTGGCAGTGGTGTATCGCTGCACAAGGTAGCTATTTTAAAGCAGATGACAGCTAAAATTAAATCAGGTACAGTCCTTGTTTTTATAGGTGCAGTCTTGGAACTTTTTGATCATACCTTGTCTTTAGCCTTATTACATATATTGTAAAAGAATGCAGAAATAAATATGGGTCTGATCGTTTGACATACAGTGATTCACTCTGGAGCATTCCACCTCAAGTATATACCTGTGCTGTAATTGTAGTTGCTGCTAATAAAAGGGAAATGTTTTATATTGAAGTTTGTGACCTCTGTTATTGCTGAATATGGATATAATTTTTTAGGCTACTGGACTGGCCCATACAATTTCTTACATACATACACACTCAAACATTATTTCTTTTAATATTACCTTCTGCTCTCAGGGTTAGCTTCAGAGTTTCTACTTTATGACGTCCCTTTTTTCCTTCTCTGAGTGTTTCATCAGTAATGGTGGCAGTGTACTCCGAAACTTTCCCTGTAGGCTGGATTTCAATCGCAAACCTGAGGGAATGATACACATGATCAATTGTGGCTCTGTTATCGTTCAGGGTAAAGTCATGATTAGGTAACTGAAATATCAGCTGATAGCTAGACACTAAATAAATCCAAAACAAACTCAAACCAGTGGGTCCCAAGCCAGATGTTCTGAAGTAGCATCCACTTACTTGGTTTCTCCAGTCAGAGGGTAATAAGGGGCCTGGTCTGTGGAAGTAGCATTGGAATAACGCACTATTGTGCAGAGATTCAGACCAGTGAATAAGGGTTGGCAGTCAGTCGAGTCAGTCCGGTCCTCCACCAGGGATGGAACTATTTTTGTTTGACCAGACGAGATGGACAGCAGCTTGTTGCTGTGTTTGAAACAGAGAGAGATGGAAAGTGACAGAGACCAATATGATACTAAGAACCACTGAAAGCATTTTGCATTTTTTGGCAGAGGCGACACTGACCTGATGCTGAACAACTGAGTGTTCGAATTGGGAGCCGGAACGGACAGTTTAATCTGGTTTTTGCTGATGCTGACTTTAGCATTGAGAGAACTCTCATGGTACATATTTGTGTGCATCTCAATCCCTGCATCCACATAGTCTGGAATGTGCACACCCATTTGGGTGATGAATTCAAGCCCAACTGAAGGCATAAAGGACAAATCGGTCTGCAACAAGAAGGATACAGCAGAGCAGCTTTAAACAGCCATTCACAGGAATCATACAAGTACATTTACGATTCTATTTTACTTGTAACCTAACTTGAAGAGCAGCTGTCTCACCATAGCTGAAGGAACCAGGCCTCCTTTGGCACCAGGTGCAAACACACCAGCCAAAGAGAATTTTAGAGGGAAGCCAGAGGCAGTGGGCAGAGCAAAGGCATTCTCCATGAAGATATAGTGGGCAAAGACTTCATTTTCAGTGCTAGATGTCAATGCAGAAAAAGCCTTTTGGAAACAAAAACAGGTATTGTGAAAAAAAAAAATCATGCTATCATAGTCCACTATCAAATCAAATATGACTTTTTTTTAAATGGCTGTAAATTGTAAAATAAAATAGATGATAAAGCAGTTTGTGCTTTTGGGACGGCTACCAAATTGAGAGCACTGTTCTTGAGTTCTTCAGTCAGAGTCACCCCTCATCAGTTTCAAAAATCAACACTCAAGGCTTCAAAAAGTCAAACTAAAGGGTAATGTCACTGTGGCTAACTCAATGTGATCCACAATTCAAAGGAATATCGGGGGTGTTTTTGCATGAAAAAATGTTTTTCTGTCATTAATATTGCGAAGTTCATGTTAAGAAACAATAGATCTTACCGAGCCAGGCAGAATCCTGATGAAGACGTGGTAGTACATGAACAGAGTTTCAGCCATTTTTCTCATTTCAGTGGTCTTCATGTATCCTATCTCATTTCCCAGAAGCCGAAGATAAGCAGTGGCTTCAGGTCTTGGAGAGAAACGCAGATCGTTCATGAGCTTCTGGAAACTGTCTGTGATAGCTTTCAGATGATCTTGTGGATTCTGAAAAGAGATTACCAGTGTGTGTTTTAGTCGCCATGCATATGAAATGAAGCTGCCATACTGATTTGGAGTCCCACGTCATTTCTTTGCAATCTTGGTAGTGAGATAAATGTAGTTTTGCAGGATGGAAAGACAAGATTTCATTCATGTGGCAGCATAAACAAGCATATAGTGTTTTCAAAAATCTTTTCACCTGTCTCTTTTTTCTGTTTTGCTGAGGAGCAATTCTGTCCAAAACGTCTCTGAGCATCTGGCCTGTGTCTCCGGCCATGTACAGGGCTCTGGAGATGGATTCAGGGAAGAAACCTCTATCCCCAAAAAGTGCATCAATTGTTGGTTCAAATCCTGTTCCTTCAACCCCAACCTTAAAGTGAGAGATTTCAAATGTTTTAATACTTTTGACACATTTGATTTGTATGATTATGCTACATATTAAACATATACTCCTGAAATCATACCTCAAAAATGTCGTAGTTGTAGTCAAAAACCTTTAGAGTGGTCTCCAGCATCATCTCCTTAGGAAGGGTGTCCCTGTTATCGAAAATGATGTTGCTCTGTATTGAGCCCAAGGGGGAGTTGATTTTGTGGTTGCGTGACGTCCCATCAAAGACCTTGTTTGTAGGCATTGGCTCGTCTTTCAAGGCCCGGTCAATGTATTCCCTGAGTCTTTAGTAAAGAGAATAAGCAACATGTTAACACAGTGCCAAAACAACAGTATTTCTGTTTTTACTCAAAGCAAAAGCTTTCTCTTCCTTGTTCATTTACCATGTCCCATAAAATTTACAAACACAAACACTGCTTACATTGACTTCAGTTTATCCCTTTCATGCATAAATTGTTAAATCATTTTGAAACTGTAATATTGTTTTTCAAACTGAATTTTATGTTGAACTAAATGTTAGACTTCATTCACATAATATTCAGAGAAGAACAATAATCTTCATATATTGGTAAATTTTGATATAAAGATTTTTTTAGTTTTGCATATATAACGACAACACACGGACCCAGATGCAGACCAGTTTTTGTGCTCCTATAAATGTCCAAAATGTCTATTTTGGACATTTTGAAATTACAATTAATTCTAGTACAAAATATACACACATCTATATATACATGTACACTTACACAACCTCTCTGGGACACCAATAACTACCTTTGTTTAAAAATGTTGTAACTTTTTCTGTTTTCAAGGGCCAAATATTACAAACTGCTCCCTGCTGGAGCCATTTAATCATTGTACATGTCTTGTCATTGTACAAGCCTTAAAATGGCTCCCAGGTAAGTGGTTTTTCAAGGGTGAAATTACAAAAAATCTAAGGTCTGAAACCATAGAAAATTTTAAGAATTAAGCAAAAATATTTTTTACAGAACTTAGTTTTAGGTCCCAAATAACAAATGAGTAAACACTGAACAACATGACAGTACAGCAACACTGCTATCTGAAATCATACGCTGACACACTGACTGATTTTTGGCCCCATTGGAGGCAGAAGAAAAAGGTGAAAAGGCCATGTCTAACAGAAGCAGCAACATCTGTGTTCAATTTTGTTTTCATTCTGATCTATTCTGTCAGTTTCTATTTTAAAAAAGTACCAGCTGCTCAGCTAGTTGGATTTGTCTGTCTGTGGTTTGGTGCTAAGTAAGTGGCATACATCCATCCATCATCTATACACCGCTTAATCCTCACTAGGGTCCCGGGGTCTATCCCAGCTGACTTAGGGCGAAGGCAGGGGACACCCTGGACAGGTCATCAGTCTGTCACAGGGCTACACTTAGAGACAGACAACCAGGCACACTCAGATTCACACCTACAGACAATTTAAAATCACCAGTGAACCTCAACATGTTTTGGACTTGTGGGAGGAAGCCAGAGAACCTGGAGAGAACCCACGCTGCACGGGGAGAACATGCAAACTCCCCGCAGAAACATGGAAAGCGGCATACAGTGTTATCATATATAAAATAAGATATGTATTTTATCACAAAGTTGACATTTGAAGTCATGAATAAGCCCGACCTTTTTTTGGGGACACTCTAAATGCTGGCTGGCTACTCACTCATTCATGCGTGGCTCATCAGAGTTGCGGATGTTGTTCAGGTGGGAGATCACAAAGCTCTTGAGTTGCTCGTCTCTCTCATTCTCCAAATTGGTAACAACAGCTCTAACGAGGGCTCGGTTGGGATTCTTCATCAGAATCAGGTAGGCTGCTAAGCGTTTTTCAACAGGGTTCTGATTGTCCTGGTAAACCTCCATGAGAACATTTCTGATCTGTGGGCAACCAAAGAACAAGGTCTCAGTTGTCTTGTAATGATAGTGTGCTCCAACATATGAATATAATGTGCATACTGTACATTTTCACAATATTCAATTTTCAGTTAATTACTTTACTAATTTGCAAATAATAACAATAATAATAAACAAAACTGTCAGTCATTCAACACAAGTATTGTTTACTGTCATGCTACCATGAATGTAAGAAATGTGGGGATGTGCATGGGTTACTGTACCTCATCATCAATGTCCATCAGCCTAAGGGCCTGTATAGCTGCCTTTTGATTTGATAACGGAATGTCTGTTTTCTTAGTGCACCTCAACACAGAGGAAATCAGGCTGGGGCTAACGGCTTGCATGGCTGGACCCATGACACCAATAACCTGGAGATTAGAAAAAAAAAAGCTTTAACCTGGGGCATTGAAACCCTGAGCAAGGTTTTCTGACAAGAGCAGACACATCAGTGAAGCCAAAACTATGTGAGATGCTTGCGTGATTGTTAGTACCCTCAGTACAAGGAAGGAAATCTCTGCAGGGTCAGGAGGAAAATCAGAGTCATAATCTTGGATTTCTCCTGAACAGTCATTTAAGAGTGTCTCCATGAATTTTGACACATCTGTGACCACTGGAGTAACTGCTCCTTTATGGAACCTGTCAACAAGAGACAGAGACATTATCAGATGCTGTGATTAGGATAAAGAATGTGTTTTCCCCTCACGGTCACATCAACAGTTACCACAATTAACCAAAACAAGGCATAAAGGCAACAGCTTTGTATCATTACAAAAAACAGAACCATAATTCTGGCCCTTTTCCTTACTTCTTGACTGTGTTGGCCAGAGCATACATGATTGCCTTGCTCTGTTTATACTGAGCCATGCTGAGCATATCTCGGACACGTGGGGCATCAGGGTTGGCCTGGAGGCTCAGCCCGTAGACGAGAGCATCCACCTCCAGTGAAACCCCGTCAATGGTCCTAATGATCTGAAGGATGGCGCTGGTGCACTCTGGGGTTCCACACTGGATCAGGGCCTGCCAGGTGAGCCAGGCTGATGTTTGCCTCATCTCAGGGACCGTCTGGGTTAGAGTCTCGTTCCTCAAGACACGCAAGCTGGACACAAGTTTATGGAAAAGGCTGGTCCTCTTCTGACCCTGGTCTGTACCTGCCAAAGCTGCAAGGTCCCGAAAAGTGCTGAGAACAGCATCCTTTGTTTGGACTGGTGCTTTATCATCAGGGTCTTCAAAGTGGAGTGGTTTGCTCTGGCTGGGGTTCACATCTGTGTGCACACATATTTGACATTAATTTTGCATTTCCCAGTAAAAACAGATGTATGATTAGGAAGCAGATGTGAACTAAAGCTACACGTGACAGGTACTATAGACATGATCACTCACCAAATACTCTATTGTTGATTCTCTTGGAACTTTGAAAGCTCAGCTCTTGGGTTAACACAGATGACATTCCATTGTCTCTGCAAGGTACATGAGAAAATGAGTCATAAAAATGCACTATATATGTATAAACATGCAGTCGTTTCATAACTTACTCATGGGAGAAGGGCAGGTAGACATGCTGCTCTGTGCACATGGCTGTGGTGATGTGCCGTCCCTTGTTATCAAACTGATAGTTACAGTTTTGAGTGCTTGTAATCAGCTTAGACATGGGGCTGTGCTGGAGACAAAAATCCACAATGTTTATGTGTCTTTTTGTTGCTGTACTATGACTACATCAATAGGAGAAATTTTGAATGAACATAGCAAAGCATTTTTGCAAAATGTAAATTGCTTAAAGCCCAATAATTGGCAGTTAACATAAGGGAACCACTTATCTTTAATTTCACACAGAAGTTAAATACCCTCCCAATATATTCATCAGTACAACAGTTGAACTGAGGCAAAAACGTGAAAAGTGAAATACTGCATTATTAATAAAAGAAATGACACGCTTGACACAAACTGCACCTTAGAGACCTAAGGCCACTAGACTTAAGACAGAGTTGTCTTTTCCTCCACAAAACAACGCTTCTTTACAGTGACGACAATAATCATTAACAATGTGCAAAGTGGTTGAAGAACAAAACAGGAAGGAGTGTCCAATCACTTTCTATGAAGTCTGAATTTAGAAATACAAAGTGACAAAACTACGGGCCATGTTGTAATGGGATCACACCAGCTGCGACGCCCATCAGCAGACTGATCTTTCAACTCAACAGTACTCAGTAGGCATTAGTACATTAATGCATAAATAGCTAATAATCCACTAATCACAAGGTCACCAGGTCAACCCCTGACTGCATGCCATTGGCGCATTGGTGTGTGTGACTGACAGACACATTGTAATTAGAACCTAAGGTATACAAAGTGCTATATAAGCGATTTACCATCACATTATGAGTTGCTTTTTTTTTTACTGCAGCAACTTGCCATCCTTAGTAGCAGTCTTCTTCTCTCTAACATCATCATCAGGAACGAAACATTCCCTATATAGGCATAACAAACCTCCATTGTTATATTTTCTACATGTTAATAGAAATGGAGTTACGTCCAGTAACTACTTGTTACTGTTCTTATTTGTTGTTTTTTGGATACTTTCTGAGTTAACGTCATGGTCGAACAACCTAACCAAAATAAAATGGACCACAATACCAACCAGTTTTTGCAGCAGGGCCAGAGGGCTGTTGGCTAGCTCCCTGCTGTAGAACTGGTCACACTGAGACAGATCTCTGGACAGGGTCACTTCTGTGGCAATATCCTTCCTAGCAGCCTCCACATAATCTGTTAAACACTGGCCATGTACTGTGCTCTGGAAGAGAATAAAAGTTAACAAATCAGAGGCTTAGCCCATCAATATTAGCTTTAAAGTACATGCGGCAAAGCAATTTATTATCTTTTCTGTTGTGCAGTTGCTCTGCTAATACCTGCACTACATTTTTTAGAGAAGCCTGTTCGGGTTGTGAGTGGATACAAACCATAAAGCTGCTCTGTCCATCCTCCAGGATTGGCACCAGGAGAGCAGAAACGATTCCTCTCTTAATGTTGAGGATGTTGACTGGTTCATCCGTCTCGGGGTAAAGCTCCACATTAGTGACTCCCTCTACACTGAACTTCAGAGCGTTCCTGGGTGAAGACAAGACAGATCATGTATCTGTTAACATGATTTGATAATTGGTGCCCAACTTTGGCACCCACTGGACTCATTTAAACCACAGTTTATTTACTCGTTGTAAGTGGCTCCTGCAGAGCTCCGTTAAACCAATTTTACAGAAGCTCGGAACAAATCAATACATTGGTCAAGTCAAGTCAGTGGCACATTGCACTTCCAGAGTTGAAACATGTCCAATCAACTCAAAGTGATGACGGCCCTGTGAGAAAAGTGATCAGCATCGCACATCAGAGTCTTGTAAGGGGGAGTCTGGGATTCTCCACGGTGTTTTCAATTGTTTTGGTAAGCAACTGGAGACAAATCAGATTTGATTGAAAGATAATCTAGATGTAAGACTTACATAGTCCTATCATTGTTGATTAAACAAGGGTTTATTACTAGCTATACAGATGTTTTTCTATGATATTTATCACCAATTGTCATTCCTGTTTATTCTTGGAAAACAAAGCTATGCTGTCCAGGGTGTATTACAGTGGCTGTTGCAATTTAACCTACATGTAGAGATCAGAGGAAAAGCTAACTCTTGTCCTCAATTTTTCATTTTAAATGAATTGGAAACAACATGCAGAACAGCTGGTGAGTCAGGCTCGACAGAAAGGGACTATTTTTATCGAAAAAAAAAAAAACAACTTGTAGAAATCTAACTTGATTCAACTTTTCTTTTGTCATTTGGAGGCAGCAGGAACAAAATGCATGTCATTCCCATTTGATCACATTTTAAGCTGTTAACATGTTATCTAACAGTTGTTTGTTTACATTTCCAGAAGTTGTGAAGCAACATTGTCATTCATGTGGAGCAGTGCTTCTGTTAGTCCAAAGTTCAGTGTTTGGTCTCTCCCAACAGTTGAGCGAAATTTCACTCTTTATCTGCCAAAGCAGCACTATGTTCAATTCTATTCAATTCAGTTCAGGATAGCAGCTGGAGAACAAACACTACATAAGATAACAATGAACATTTTGGAAGTCGGTGAGGCCAGCCACTGCAGATCAGAGTTGTGTAGCTCCAGATCTAGAGACACCATCCATTATCTATACACCGCTTGATCCTCAGTAGGGTCGTCGGGGGCTGGAGCCTATCCCAGCTGACTTAGGGCGAAGGCAGGGGACACCCTGGACAGGTCGTCTAGAGACACCAGCTCACTGATAAATATAGCTGTCTTCTGGGCTTCTTATTTTTGAATTTATTTGTTTTAATTTATCGAGTTTGTTGAGCAATATCTCTACAGTGGTGTTTTAGGGCTTTCTCATTGAAGACAGCTGCCTGCCGCTGTCACTGTACAGCTACACCCCACTCACATTTCTGAGCTGCTTTCACTGCGTCATTTGATAGTTTGTTTATTATAAAAGCAGAGATTGTAGGTTTTAAAGACAAAATACTGTTATGAGCCTCAACTCTACTTGCAGTCTGCTCCTAGTTTGTTCCATGTCTGGCAGCCATTGTTTAAAAATGCTCTGGTTTTTAATATGTTCTGCATGTGAAGAAAGTTTTACACTAACTTTTCCATTGCAGCCTGGAAGGCCTCTGAGCCAGGGGCCTGCTTGTAGACCGGCTGGCCCTGGGGATCCATGACAGAAACCTCACTGAGAACACAGCCCGTGGTGTGCATGATGAACCTGCAGATCTGTGGGACTTCGATCTCTACCTAAAGATGTGTGACAGTAGACACACAGTCAGTGGAGACACAGTGAGGGGGTTCAGATAAGAATATTCTGTTATCAAGTTGGAAACAAACAGTCATGTACCTGACAAGAGACTTTGGGGCCATTTCTCAGGTTGGCAGTGCCCACCACACCATTTCGGCTCTCTGTGGTGTACTGGTACACATATTTTTTATGGGCCTTGAATCTGGATGCCACTGTAGAAAGGTAATAGTATCATGTCGTTAATCTGTGTTCCTTAATGTACGAAGCTCCAAGTGCTGATCAGTGGTGGTATTATTTCAAGCCGACAGGAATAAGCTCATGTTCCTGCATATTCTCTATATCAATATTTTCCCTCTTCACCACAAATTCACAGTCAGTTTTCCACATCATCACTTGGCAACCCATCTTTGAACCCCGAAGCAGGTAAATAATACAGCAGCTATTGTTCTAAAGCGTAAACAGCACAGAGCAAGAGTTCATGAGCCCCTGCTGCTATCGCCAAAAAACAGGTCATGTGTTTATCAGTTTGGCAGTCACCATTGATCTGTTAGCAGGTCAAAGTGTCTGTTTGTGTCGACCCTATGCACATACACACTCAGCTTTTTCTAGGTACATGAGCCCCTAAGAGGGAGGGAGTCTAGAGCTTTTCAAATTATCAACAGTTTCAAATTTCAATTATTTTTTTCTCCTCAAAATGGTCAGAATACTTATGAAAACAACCCAATACAAATTTCCCATGAGGGATCTTGCAAGTTGCCAGATTTGTTGATTTGGTCACAGACATTTAATTTAATGTGAATGTAGCCAATGAATAAACAATAACTTACGCAGGCATGTTGAAGTTTGTTCATTATTATCATTGTTTTCCTCTGCAAAACAAAAAAGAGTGAAGAATCAAATAAGTCATTAATAAACTTAAGTTTCATTTACACTGTTGAATATACTGAAAACGTGAAAAAGTATTTATTGTCCTGTGAAGGAAAGGTGTATAAGGTACATTTCAGGTGTCATTTATTTCACTTTAAAGCACCAGCATAGGCAATCTTAACACACTGAACAAAATTACATGAATGTGAGTTTACAGACTTCATCAGTAAACATTAATTGTATCCACACAGCAAACAGATACAGCGCATTCAACATAATGTTTATCAATCCATAGCTATACCAGCTTTATCCTATAGAGGATCGCAGAGGGCTGAAGTCGATCCCAGCTAACACTGGGCAAAAGGCAGGGTAACATATTTTATATGTATTATAAATGGTATCATGGTCATCCTAGGAGCTTTAGTAAAAGACAACTGGACTTTTCCTTTAGGGTCTTGAGGATATTTTGCCCTTAATCCAAGACACCTCTTTAGTTAGACTGATGAGGAGTCTCAGAGGTCTGGAGCTAAATCTGTCTCAATACTGAGCAAAATGACAATCTGTGTGTAAATGTGTGGCCCACAAACACAAAATATGCAGATTGTTTTTATATTTGCAGTGCTTTTTGAAAGTTTATATGTTCTCAGTTTTTATTTATTTTCTATTTGCGGAAAGCATTTTGTGGGTCACACATTCAGACATGGAGTGTGAGAAATAATGAGACAGGTTTAGTGCCATACTGCTCAGAATCCCCACAAGTCAGTTTAAACAAGAGAGGCCTCTTGGATGAGAAGTGAAACATCTTCAAGACCCTAAAAAATAAGTCCAGTTGCGTTTTATTGTAGCTCTGAGGAGGATTATGGGCGACACACTCGCCCCAGTAAATCACATTATCACGCAAACAGGCTTTTTTTCACAGACTAGATTTCCATATTGTCAAGCACAGATATAAACAAGAAAGCTAAACCACCCTCCACCTTCAGTTTTATGGTCCTGGTATTGTGCATGCTGACTCACTATCAGTGTCATGGTTCAGTGACATACCAGAATAGTCATCATTAATGGTATTATCCAGTCCTACTAAGACAAGTCAAAATGTCTGCTGCGACAAAGGTATTTAGAATATCCTCACGAACAGAATTTGCCACAGATAAGTGATTCTTACACAAAAAGCTGCTAAAATATTAAGAAAAAACATAATGTTGAATGAAAACAATTTTCTCACTTACGAGCCAATGTGTAGCTACTCAGCAGTAGTAACAGACACAGCTTACTGGAACCCATTATGGGCTAAAGAAAAGGGTTTCCTCTGTGTTCTCCAGTCCTCTCAATCTGCAATAACACAGCAACACATTCACTCAGACCTTTTATAAAGTCCCTCTGCTCCGTCCTGCCGAGTGCCGGTGACATCGACACATCAAAGCCTGAGAGGTCATTTCAAAGTTCAAACTCTGAAAAGCATCAAAGGTTATTGTTGGGTAAGTAGTTTCAAGGTGATGACTTCTATTTGTCTCCAGTCAACAGATACCAGAGCTCTTAATTGCATAAACCATCCTTTAGAATTAAAGTTGGGATAAAATTCTTGGTAAGTCATCAGACTGTAGTATTGTAATGTCCAACTTAATGTTTTGGTCAGCAGCTCATGGAATAGTAGAATCACGATGGATATGGTCGGACTACTGATTAGTGACTAATTCATTATCAGAAAATAAGGCACTATTGTTGATGTAATTAAAAAATGAACACCTACATTAGGTTTGATGCTGTCGTTGGAGATCCATAAAGCATTTGTTAAAATGCAATAGTGAGGTTAGTCTGAAAGTCTGCAGTCCTAAAATCTGATAATAGCTTTCTTTCTTCTTAAAGGTTTACATGATTTGGTCCACAATGCAGTGGGTACATTTGTCTCTACCAATAGTTTGGTCTTTAATGCATTGATGGTTTTCATGCCCAAATGCGGTGATTACACTCATGCTAATCCTCAGAACGTTGAAACAGTAATGCCATAAAAAATGCCAGGCAACAAAACGAGGCGAATAAAAAGAAAAACCATAAGAGAGAAAGAAGATGTTAACAACTTGCTGGTTTAATCCCTTGTCTCTCCCACAGTTTCATGAAAAAAGACCTGCAAGTTTTGAAGTAGTGCAGTGTACTCTGACTTTTACCATAAATCAGCTGGGAAAGGGTCCAGCCTCCTCATGACCCTGTACAGGATAAAGAGATGTCCAAAAAAGATGGTCTCATGTGGATAAACTGATATAGGATAGTGATATAGAATATAGTGATACTAAAAGTATGTGGTCCTATAGGAAACATATATATTGCTGTGATATCAGTATTGGTTGACACTGTTTGATTCATTAACCTTGGGCTTTCAAAACATAAATAATTTGATTCAACTGCAGCCTTGTAAACACCATCTGCTCATGATAGTGAGGATGTCAGACAAGCAGAGCTCATGAAGTGGAAACTAAATGTCATCACAAGCAGGTATGATCAACAGTTTACTATTTAAATGTGGTTTTCAACACTGACACCTAGTTGCTAGTATGCAATATATCATACAATTCAAAGATTTTTGCAACACAAAATAATCCTCAAGAAGTAACTTTTGAAATATAAACAGTTTTATTATCTTTTATGTTTCTAAAGTCAAATTACTCACCCTATTGTGCAACAAACTGGGCTCAGACTTGGCAAAGTTTTTCATAGGAAATAATTCATTTAATTCTGCAAATAAAACCTTAGTACAGTCTTTTATGTTTATTTTATATAATAAGATAGAGTAACAGTGTGCTGCTACAGACATGATATATTAAACTTAGGAGGAGAACTGGCTTGTGCCATATGTAGGTCAGATACATCACTGCCTATTTCAATAGGTGATCAGAGGCACAATGATATTTTAAGTGTCTTATCAATGTCCTGTCAACAGTCATTGAACCCACTGAACTGAGACTCCAGAGTGACTGACTGTCAAAAACTGCCCAAAAATACTGAGCAACATCTCTGTCTATCTGATTAATACTTAGCCTTTTCTACAGATTTTACCATTAGCCGTCTGATAGCTACGTTAAGCCTGCATTCTCAGACCTTACATGGCTCCTCAGACATTGTGCCACTGCCAGTCACTGAACCTATATTGCACAACAACAAAGAGGTGCCACATATACTGTCAATCTCACAATGTAATGTATTAAAAAAAAACAAAAAAAACAGTATGCAAAATCTGAAGTTAAATAATTTTGTTGTTATTACTATTTTTAGGCCTTCAGTCATCAGTAATTAATTGTTGCTTTCAATACATGCTGGGTTTTATGTAAAGGCAGACAGGACAAACAAAACAATAAAACCGTAGTGTGCTCATTCACCAGTTGTGCTATGCTGCTGCTTTAATGTGCCAGTCCACTCATGTTGTCGCCGTTTTGTCCTATACATGTGGGTCACTGATGACTGACTGTACTGACAGACTATATAGGTCACGAAGTGTAACCAGGGTGAATGTGGGATAGTTTAAAGTAAAAATAGATTCAAAAGATAAGACAGGAATAAGACTTCTTCAGAATAAATTCTATGTGTTTATTACTTTAGATATTGTCACAATTACTTTACTTATAGTAATTTACATCAACCACTTTAATAATATACATACAAACAAAAGATCTTTTCCTAGTCTTTCTCTCCATATTTTGTTGTACTGTATTCTGGTACCTTAGTCATATTTCAATTACAAAGTGAACAATAATAAAAAGGCAGCAGAAATCTCTACTGGAGTGACATTTGGGCAAAATACAACCAATGTCTTAAGTTTACGCTTTCGAGACTTTTTGACAGATTAATATAAAAACTACTAACTGAGCAGCTAAACAGATAAAAGAGGTCAGAATGTTTTTAGAGATTATTGGAGCTTCACTCTAAAACCCAAAAAGTAGTTTAAATGAAAGAAATGGCTACATGTGAAAACTGGCTGAGTGATGTGTTTTTGTCAAAAAACCCAATCCCCACAGTGTAAACAGCCTGGCTAAACCAAACACGCACAGTAGCAGGAAGAATCCTTGCTGATCACAATGACCAATCCAACACTCTTTATATTTGTATTTATATCTTTACAAAAAAGGGTTGTCATGTTTGTCCATTTTTCCCCCAAAGAGTGAACGGTAACAGTGACTGTGCTGAGATTCAAAGCTGTGACTGTCTTTGGTTTCTCCTGATTAAACTTGAAAAAGTAGATTCCTAGAATTTAAGGGCAACAAAGGTTAGAGGGCAGCCTGTCACACCACATCACACCACTTCTGTATTAGAGGGTTAGGGTTAACTAACCCTATATTACAAGAACTAATCATTTAAAATACTTATTTTTGCCCTTTTTTCTTCCACCCACATTAAACATAAGTAGGGTACTGTCACACGCTTCACAAACCTTCTGGATTCTCATGTGTACTTTAGTTGTACATTAAGAGAACGGGCTGTTACCAAAGGTAAACAAAAAACCAAGCTCCACAACCAAAAGTCAGAAGTGGAAATTCAGCGTTGACATCCAAGTCATGCTGATTTGTGCTGCTGAAAGATTGTAGTTAATATATCACAGTCTGTGTCTGGAATTTCAGATTGACCAACCTCTTAATGCAGTTATTAAACAATGCCTCAGACAACAAGCTTCTTTCATGTGAAAAGGTTTAAGAGCAACATACGCTTAAAGGTTTGTTTAAAGTTCAAATATTTTTCCTATTTTAATTATACATACAGTCCACAATCTGTAAAAGTTCATGCTTTTGATATTTAGCTTATAAAATATGTGCTTGGACTTGCAAGATGTGTATGTATGTTCTTGTTAAACTTTTGTGTTTTTTAAACTTCTGTATGTCATCAGCCTCTTGAAATAATGGCCTACATGATTTTTTCTGAAAAAATAAAATAAAATAAAATAGAAATTGACCAAAAATTAAATATATATGACATCTAGCAATTTCACTCAAATGTTGTGACAATGAATACGTATTAATAATGTCTGTCAATTATGTAACAGAGGAATAAAGTCAAGTGACTCTCATACCAAAAAGGAAAAACAATTCAACCTATTTCTTTACCCTTCGGTGCACTGTCACTGTTAGAATAATTCTATGTTATGATCCAGTGATCTTTGTGAAAAGTATGAGAATGCTAGAAATGTTCATTGCCTTTTTTTCACCTTGTTAGTGTGAGATAAGATGTCCTTAGTGGGTAGTCAAAACGCCATGCCTACACGCACACATTTGCAGGAGGTTGTCTTCTGTTTTCTGTATACAAAAAACAATGCTTCGTGCTTTTAGTTAGTCACTTGTTCAGACTCTGTGCTGTACATGTTGCTCCTTGTTGCAAGTAAAACTTTGCTTTGACTTAAGAGACGACTCTGTGTATTGATTTGGAGCAGTTCGGACTCCACTGAAGAATTTTCCTAACATTTTTGGTCCTTCGAGTCAGATTCCAATATCCCTCCTCTGGACAGGTTTGGGGCAGAGACCGTGCACGGGGGAGTCTGGGACTCCTGGAAGAAAGACCTCCGTCTTGAATTAGACGTTCAGAGAGGCCAGCCACCGCTGTCCGGAGGGTTCGGTACACAGGAGGTCAGTCAAAACAGGCAGAGGTATCCAAAAAAACAAGAGGGGAGAGACAAGATCCAAAAACAGAAGCAAAGTCGTTACGAAGCAGGCTATGACTATGACTATGAACAACACTGGTACAAAGACTGTGAAAGTGCGTCAAACTGGCTACGAGGCTGTGAGACACACAAGGTAATATACACAAGGTAATGAGGGGAGATAGGAAGCAGGTGAGGGAAAGCAATCAGGGAGCAGGTGTGACTAGACAGGTGTGGGAAGTAAATTAAGACAGACAACTGGTTAGTGATTTCAAAATAAAACAGGAAAGACAAGACATAAAATGTGCACACAAACTTGACAGACATGACAGAAACTATAGCGGGAGGGGTAGAGGCAGAAGCAGAGGTAGAGGAGCTCATAGACAAGGGCCAAGAAAACCACAGTCAAAGGATGTATGCTATCTGTACAACAGAACAAGTCATTATGCTAAAGACTGTCCCACCAGAGGAGGCAGTAGCGCTTGACTTACCAACCACATGGCTACTACAAAACCTGAGGTGTGGAAGCAGGAAAGTGACTCCTATGATACAGAAACTGAAAGTTTGACTGAAATAGAAGTACATTATGGAACAGCATGTGAAATTCTAAAACTAAATGTAAAACCCAAAGTGCAACTAAATGTGGGAGGCAAACAAATGACGTTCTTGTGTGATTCAGGTGCTGCCTCAACTGTGATAAAATAAAAAGAATTTCCAAAAATAACAGCCACAGGTGAAAAAGCATTGGTAAGAACAGCAAATGGAAACTTGCATGTGGAACAATACACAAAACCACTGAAAATAACTGACCCATAGACAGGATGATCCTGTGTCACAACAATTCTGTTATCCTCAGCGTGCTCAGTTAACCTGTTGGGCAGAGATCTGCTGGAACTGCAGATTGGTGTTGTTCCAACCCACAAAGGCATGAGAGCTATGAGAATGACATGCCAAAATGCTCTTTTTGAACCTGGACAGCCATACTATTGGTACAGTCTGGACCTGCAAAACAAGGGCCCAGGCAGTAGCAACAAAGAATTAGTTAAATTGGCACAAGAGATCACACCCCAAGTGGCAGATGTAATACCTGCAGACGAATTGCATTGCCCAAATTACAGAGGAGCACCTGGCCCAGACAAGGATTTCGAGAAACATTTCTTCAAGCATGCTCAAGGCTCACTGCAGCTGACCCACCTTTACTGGGACGAAAGAGGTCACTGTGGAGCAGCCTGCAAGATCTTATCACCTTTTGACCGTCTGTGCAGAAGTGGCTATGCACCACATGTTTCCTTGACCAAGCCAAACTATGCTGAGTGGAAAGACACAGGCAAAATGGTGACTAGAGGAGAGGAGGCCACAGACTGGCAAAACAAAGGGTCAGGCGTGCAATATAGCCACAGACAACAGCTGTGGTCAAAACAGCTAAACTGGCTCATTCATGCCAAACCAAAACCGCCATATGAGAGAGAAGCAGACTTATCCTCACTTCCTGACAGCTTATGGGCTACAAGTAAGACAGATGTAGGGTGAATTAAAGAATGCATACCAGTGAAAATTAAACCAAAAGGCTCTTACAGACCATATCAATGTCAATACCCATTAAAACCAGAAGCAAAAAAATGTATTAAAAGTACAATAGAGGGCTTGCTTAAAGCAGGTGTTTTAGTCCCATGTGATGATTCACTATGCAATACACCACTGTTTCCAGTTAAAAGGCGGCTCCATCTGCTGGCTGGAGGATGGTTCAAGATTTGCAAGCAGTAAACAAAGCAGTTGCAGCTAGAGCACCAAATGTGCCTGATCC